TTGCCCACCCAATAAGCTGGGTTCATACAATGCATTAGGCCACAACTCCAGTTTACAATTTAAAATAGTTGAATTGATTCTGAACTAATGTAGAATCAAGCATGGCCACTGGGTCAGGCAATGGGAACTATTTGGTGACTGAGAGCCATGCCAGACCACTCGGAACCTGGGCGTGACTTACCTATGTAGCTCTGAGTCTGTGCAAGAGAACTAATCTAGTCTGCTCTCTGAATTGAAACTGAATCTAGTCTGTCTGCAATGCTGAACTCTAAATTGAAAACTGATCTCTCCTTTCTACCACATTGGAAGAATCTGCTGTTGGTATTGTACATTTATTCATGTATTATTATGTATATAAAGAAGTGTGTGCTTTCTGGATTTGATTATTGCAACAAACTCTGACAAACGCCATTACTAATACTGATCACCTTATAAAAGAAGATCAGAGTTTGAAAAACTGGTATTTATAATGCATTAAGAAAAATGAACTGTGAGTGAGTCCCTCGCATGTAACGTATGACTGTGAGAATAGGACCATAAGGAAGACTGAGAATAAAAGAACGGATGCTTTCAAATTGAGGTGTTGGAGAAAAGTCTTGAGAGTTCCTTGGACACCAGGGAGATCAAATCAATCAATCCTGAAGGAAATCAACCATGACTATTCTCTGAAAGGACAGATACTGAAGCTGAAGCTCAAATGCTTTGGCCACCAAATGAGACAAGAGGACTCACTTGAAAAGAGGTTGGGAAAGACTGAAGGCAAAAGGAGAATGGAACAGCAGAAGATGAGATAGGTAACTAGTGTCATCAATGCAATAAACATGAATTTGGGCAAACTCCGGGAGACAGTGGAGGACAGGATGACCTGGCGTATTGTGGTCCATGGGCTTACAAAGAGTTGGATGCGGTTTAGTAACTGAACAACTACAACTACAACAACAAATCAAAGGAGACGGATTTGACAGGAATGCAGGTCTCACCTTTTCTGTTTCTGCCCGGTGCTCTCGGATGGCTTTGCTCTGCTTATTGGTCATGAGGCCCTGGCGGATTTTATCCAACATGGCATTCAGTTGCTGCCGCATACGCATTATTCCCTTGAACTGCTCGTTGATTTCAATAAGAGCCTGGCGCAGGCGACTTACTACCAGGCGTGTCTCCCTGAAGTACTGAGCCACGTATTCATTGTTCTTTGTGTTGCTATAGTCCCGGGTGCAAGGCAAGGTTAACTTTCCAACCCAAGGGGGAGGCTTTATTTTGCATTTCCATAGAGTCACCCCTGGCCCCTCCGGGGGTTTTCTCTTCACCTCTCCAGAATCTGAGACATCTATCTTGAATTTCCAGGAGTCAATCTTCAGTTTGCGCTCGTATGGTGTTTCCTCAGCCTGGCCGGGGACCTTGGCAGGACGCCACAGTTCGAGGGCATCCTTGCCACATCGCTTTGTCAATGTAGAGGTTTCTTGTACTGTTGCATGTGTGTCCTTGTGCCACTTCTCAGCACCCACCTGACCTGTCAGCAGGTGAGCAGGAGGTCCCATGACTGAAATCCTGGGGCTGTCAGGGAAGAGAAGTAAATGTTACATTTTAGCAGGAAAAGATTCCCCACCAAAAGGATGAAGTGTGCAGATGAGCAGTGATTTTTTTTAAACTTTTTTCTGTTCTGTGGGCGTGGCTTGGTAGGTGTGGCAATCTGGGTGCATCTTATACATTGAATACAGCATTTTTGGCCTCCCAAA